AGCTAACTAGTAATACGACCATCTCACTTATTTTAAGCCTTTTTAATTGGAAATTTAAAATAAATTTTTATTGGTTATTTAAATTTATGATAAAGACGTCATATCATGTATGTATGCATAACATGAAGTATTCAGAACTATTGATGGCTGAGCAAGTGATAAATCAGTTAAAAAAACAATTAAATCAGAAAGTCGCTCAGCTGAACAGTTGTAGTCATTAGGCCACTTTAATGAGTTTAATGTAATCGTTAAATTTTAATTCAACGATAAATATTGTATACGATTAATTATAATTGTATAAACGATTCTGAACGCATAGACAAGCATGATTATATATATTTTTATAGCAGTTGGCTACATTAAATCAAGTTGGAATTTATTTTAAAACTGTACTTAAATAAATTATTTTTAGCGTCGCCCTGGTTCGTGTTTAAGATTTTGACATAAAGAGAACACATGCGAATGAAGATATACACGCTTGCGATCCGTATCTACCCGAATATGGTTTTACGTTAGTTTGAAATATTTTAGTTTTTATCTGAGCGATCAATTCGATTAAAGCTTTGATTTTATGATGTCTGTTTTTTAAAGGCGTTGTGTTTTAATATATATAAATATAATTATTTATACTTTACGATTAAAGATTATATATATAATCACTCAAATGTACTTAAATTGTAAGCTTATTTTTTATTTATTGGTGAATGGCATAATGTATTTGATTTAGAATAGATTTTACTTTTTTTTACTAAGTTTTATCTGTTATCATTTTTTGACTATCTTATTAGGCACGCAATTTTAAAAGTTTTGCGTGACCTTGTAATTTTTTAATTTGACATTTTACTTAGAAGCAATTTTTTACTTAAGTATAAGGAAAACCCACTGGGAAATAAACAAAACACTGAAAATTATGAAATTATTTTTATGTTTTTAACAAAAGCAATATTATAAATCACAAAATAATTTTCTTACAATGTCCTGACCAATTATTTGTTTGATTTTATATATTAGGTTGGAACCTAATTATTGATGTACGCACAATTTATCAAATTCAGCCATTTTGGAGTTGAATTCATTTCCAACATTCTCGGTTTTGTTGTTATGAACTAACAGGTGTGGTTGTTATTTTTAATTATTTTTGTTATTTTGTTTATTTTGACGTTTTTGGGTATTATGACTCTATATATTTTAAAGCCAAAAGGAGAGACAGAAGACGCTTTTAAAATTATTGTTTCTTCTAGACTTGAACAAGACGGTAAAAGTGTACAAACTTGACTGATGTCAACATATCTAGAATAAGCAAAGTTAATTAAAGAACCTACAAAACAGGAAATGGTCTAACCACCAAAAAAATAATTCCTGAGTCTAAATTTACTAGAAAATTAAGTCTGTAAACAATTTATTCACAATAAAAGTTCACTTTACAATAATTAAACCTCTGTTTTCATAAATATTTGTAAATTATATTATACATAATTCAGAAAGAACAATATCTATGCTTATTATCTTATTATACCACGTGTAGATAAATATTTTTTACGCGAACAGAATATAAATGATTTTAAAATGTTTCCACTTCCATTTCCGTTAATGGAGCCTAGGCATATTTGCACGTTAATATCACGAGTTAATTTATTTACAGTAAACGTAAATATTAAGCTTTCACACCAAGGAATTAAATAAAAACAATAATTGATACAAGTAGGTATCTATTATGTAAAATTATTTTTTTGGTTTGTGTATTTTTATGCTAATTTTTTTCTTCGTACATCTCAAAGTATTATATTTTATAACATGAGTTTAGTAATAAGCCGTTTATGTTCCACGTCGATTTTTATTTGTAGATAAAGTCAAATTTTTGGAATATATAACGTTTTTATACTAAATGTATGTATAAATAATATTTATTACTGAAATAAATAACTTGTGAAACTTTCAAGTCTTAGCTAAAGAATAAATAATTTTAACTGTTATGGTATTATCGAAATATTTATTTTTAAGCAATCTTTGCAATTTTTTTAAATGTTTATGTAGTTTTTTTGAAAATTATGGAAAATTCAAAAAATTTAGTACTAAATTCACACAAATTCGAGAATGAAAGACGAAGGAGTGATTATTTTCCCGGGAGGTGATAAAAATAAAAATATTTATACTGTACAAATATAATAGGAACAAAAAAGTAGAATAATAAAAATCGTTGTAAAAAATGATACGTATTTATATGAACTTTAATAATTATTAGTTGTTACCAAGTTTCAGATACATAGGTTACCATAAGTTATAGGTTTTAATAATATCGGGTATGTATTGGGGTATGTATCACTTTTGTACAAAGTTTTCAAAAAAAAAAGTGTTGATTGATGGTATGATAAATTATGTTTATATTGTAATACTCCAATTCAAATAAAATAGTTAATTCTTAAGAATGTTCTTAGTCATTTCGTCGGAAGAAGGAAGGGTTCCACTCATCCATCACACATTGATTTACTTCTCCGGTAGGAGTCATTTGCTACTGCCCAAGCCCTAATTGTAAAAAAAAATGTCCGTTAAACGCATTACTGTAAAATACTGAAACCAAATACCAATACACTTTTCAGTACCAAATATCAGAACCTGCTCTACGATTATAATAATACAAATATGAGAATATGACTATTATATATTATTTCTTTTTGGAATAAATCAATTAACATTATCAAATTAAATTCAAGGAAATCAAGAACAACAGACGTATGTACTTTGTAAAATAATAGACATACGGTATTTTACCTACAAAAATAATTTGGTGCACTTTATTGAAACAACATGAACAGTGAACACTACATCGAAAATTGCACAAAAAAGCTGCAGTAACCAGCAAAATGTGCAAACTGTGGGAGAAACCACACTGTCAATAATTATAAAAGATGTCAAACCTTTAAAAAAATATTAAGCCTCATTAAATCCAAAACCAGAACGACAGAAACAGTTCATCAACGCATTCAAACACATGCTGAACCACCTGCGCCTCACTGAAGAGGACATGACGCGCTAAGCTCAAACCCAAAGGTAGATAAGTGATAACTACTCTACTGTACAGTACCAAGGTGCCCAGAAGGGTAACTGTAATGGATATTATGTTAAATTTGAAATCAATATAAAATGTTAACAATTTTATGTTATAATATAATTGATAAAGGTAGTTACTAACTATTTAAAAAGTTATAGTAAAGTCAATTTTCTAATTAACTTTAATTGATGGTTTAAATAAATTAGCCTTTTCTCGGATGGTTTACAAATATTCCATTAAGCCAAATTTTTTAAAATGTTTCGTTTTTATTGTTTTATACTTACATAAATATTAATATCACATTAAAAATAAAAATAATCCAATGCTATAATAATAATACAAATATTTCTGTTATTTTTACTAATAAAATAATTTTGTTAGGAATATGATATGAGAAATACTTATGACTAGGTACTTATAGACATTTTTTTATATTTTTAACTAAAAAATAGTATGAACGCTTTCGAAATATTGATGAATATTTTTAAAATATTAATTTATTAATGTATTTTTCAACTGCTTTTATGAAAACTTATGGGAAACATTATATTAAATATTCAAGATTTTTGACCCAACAACATTTTTGTTGACATTCATAGAAAAAAACTAAAATTATTTATAAATATTTCAAAATGATTTAAAATACTAATATAAAAATTATTAAAAAAATTAATGAAAAATTTAATATGCATAGAAATTATAAAATAAATATTGGAGAAAATTACAAATATTTTAAGTGTTTAAAGTTGAAATCTCGGTAAAATTGATCAAATTCTCGAAAAATTTCACATTATTTCGTGGTTAAAAAATATTTAAATGTTAAATTTTTACTGTTATAAGAATAGAAAATTTAAAATAAGAATCTCACTGATAGTTCATACTGCAACGGAAAAATCTAAAAATTTATATAATTAGTTATTTTTTAAAGACGTTTTAAGATTAAATTTAGACGAAATTACATATTAAATCGAATAATGACAATTTTTGTTATTTTATTGTAATTAAAGAAAAATAATTAATTGAGGCTTTTAGAATACATTATTATATTTTATACCACACRATACCATTTTAAAATGTAGTTTATTTGCCCAAAATTAATTGAAATACTGTAGTACTATTAATAAAGTACTTATATAATATTGTCAAATATACTTTAAGACCATCTTCGCTCAGAATCGTTTTTCGTATACATTGTTTTTAGTTTTTACATCATTGAATTCAAATTCAACACATCCTTTAGAGTGACTCCCTAAGCAACTAATGTGCAGGAAATCTTTACTCACAAGGCTACACCCGATTTTTTCGTTTTTTTTTTGTTTGCTTATATTTTTATTGTTATTCTTGTTGATGTTTTGTTTTTTTAACCTAAAAACCTATACTTACCGCACTGGATTAAACACACATACAATATAATATTATATTATATTGTATATGATTATTTGAAGTGACACTCTATCTATACAGATACTCCTTGGCATACTCTTCAGGATACTCTTTTTAGCCCTTGTTCTTTTCTAAAAAATAATTATCGTACTTCACGAGTATTTATGTTATATAGATATACGTATTTTGTACATAATATGACGTGATGACGTGGTGAACGCGAAGTCGCGAAGCAGTGGTCACCAAGGGCGCATCGGCGCTGCTTTCCGACGACAGGCGTCCCCGCGGGCGTCGTGGTTGGTCGCGCCGGCAACGGTGGTCAAGACCGAGTCATAATTATGGTATAGAAAAAAAATGAAAGTCGGCAGGTGCCTACCTCTACACATACCCTCCGAGTCAGTGTTCGTCCGGTACCGTTGGCTGCCGATCGTCCGCCAAAACCACGTACCTAACAGTATTATTATACGGTTTCTAATATATAGGTATAGAAAACCCAATATTCAATAATTTTATAAAAAAAWTTTAATTATTCACAGTTTTTGCATAGGACTCAACCCAACTTGACCGCCGCCGTCGTTTGCGTTACGCTTCCGAGTTGGCCGCAACGTTATATGAAACCGTTTTCGGTTGCGGTGTCTGAACATGTGTGGCCCTAGCGATCCCGGTTAAGCTCGGACACACACGCCGACGTGCGCCCACCCAACCATCGTTGTCAGACCAACAGCCGACTATCTGACGTCCACGCGTACAAAGGGCGACCGTAGACGTGATGCCTGCGGTCCGCGAGTCGTACCGTGCAAATTGAAACCCGGTGAATGGGACTATGGGAATTTGTCTGGACACAGGTAAGCCCGTAGAGGTTTTTTTTTTTGTTGACTTTGCGTCAGTGATAATAATAATATAACGATATCGTGATATTGTATTAATATTAATGACAAAAAATAGTACTGCATAAACGCGAATAGTGTTTGAACTTTTTTTTCGGTAGTGGGGCGAGGGATTAAGGCTCGGGTTCGTACCGGTGTCGCTTGTGAGACTTTTCGGGTTAAAATTACAAAACTATAAATTTATTTATAGCCAATTCGGGGTTAGAGTATTGTATACACATTCTTGCTTTTAATTTTTGGAGAATTATTAACCAATTATTTTATCACAATAGAATTAAATCAAATTGTACTTGAGCCGTATTATAGTGCTCTAAATGTAAATTTTTTGAACCAGAAAGTAATTCTTTGGCAAGTATACAACATTTTATGATCCAATTCTGAAATGTAAACCCCCTTTTTTAGTTTCTTGTAGTTATATTCTTATGGAGATCACCTCATATTTATAGCTATTTTTAAATTTTTAACGAACTTTCTGCTTTGATAATTTAGTTTTTATATACACATATTATATTTGTGTTGGTGTACAGCTTTTAAGGTCTGTAGTGAAAGACTAAACGTAAAGATATAATATACATTTGAAGCTCTTCACTACACTTATCCTACCAAATGTGATTCTAACAACAAAATCTGTTCTTAAGTTTTGGTAATCTGCGTTCCTAAAGAAATATCTAGTTGAAATTGACTATTTTTTAACGGTTAGAAATATTGATATTAATATAAAAGGTTAGTTAATCAACTTTTTTTTAATTCTTAAATTTCATATTTCATTTTAACAAGCTCTTTTTAATAATTAGTTACCGACTAACTGTTTTACTCTCATAGCTTAAGATAAAAGTTTAAAAAAATAGAGTTTAGGGCTGATCATGCTAACATTTTTCAGGATTTAAACAATTTATTAGGATGAAAATAATGTCGCATTTAATTCAATAATTAATTATTAGAAATCTTAATAATATATTATTAAAGCTAACTTAATATTTTAATAATTACTCACATACTCGTTAATACTGAAATCTATATTTTGGACTATTTTTTTATTTATTATAAATGCTTGGTGTTTTCAAAATTCAGATTTTTGTTTCAAATATCTTGGGATTTATTTTAGATTTATTAGTTTTGCATTTGGTTATTCACTGATAAAAAATACATTTTTGAATTTTATATTTTGAAGTTTAACATTTGAACTGATTAAAATAAAAAAATGTTTTGGGAACATGGAAACATTGGATAATATACTAGTGTTATATTTTGTTAGTCATTGGTGTTCATACATTACAGTACTCAAACTTTAAACTAATACTTATTACTGTTAATTGTTATGGTAAGTGATGTGCAAACGTCTAACCAAATTTATTATTCCTCACAAACGACAAAGTTTTTATCGTTAATCATATATTAATAAATTATAAAATAATTATAATAATAATAATTTTTATTATTATTTATAAATTTAAAATGTAATCATATAATTTATTGCGCGAAGATTTAAAATGGATAAGACTTTTATAATATTGATAAATATACTAATAACTCACTCAATTTTATTAATAGAATAAAATATCACGAGTTGATAAATGCCTAGGAATTTTTTATACGATCCAACTAGGTACAACCTTAGACGATAATATACTCCTCGTAATATTCGAGTTTTAAACATATTCGGCCCTAAGAACAGAAGTACATACATTATACGTTTTTAGATTTTATTTTATTTTTAAACTTTTATAAAAAAAATCCATTTGTGTAGTCAGGTTAAATATTTAGTACACATTATTTAATGGAGGCAGATACCCTGATATCTCAGTAATGGTCATTATATCTTCTTATTATTCCCATTTATCAATACAATTTTATCTCATAATAGCTTTGAATATTTGTATAGAAAATACTGGATAAAAATCCTAATATCAAGTAACCAAGTCACTTTACGAAATATAAATACGAGTTAGTTATCATTTACGTCAGACATTTTCAACTTCAAACCAGAGAAATTACTACTTATTAAGTGAACMGAAGAAATTACGCATGAAAGCGGTGGCGCAACAAAATTGTGTATCTCAACTGCAGCCGGAGAACGCGAGTGGGTAAGAAACAGTATTCATGTGAAGCGTGTGACAAGTCCTTCAATAGAACCAGCTATTTGACATTACATCATCATACGTATACTGTATACAAGAGAGAAACTGTACTCATGCGAAGTTTGGATTTAAAGCTGACATGTAACTTAGGTTATCATTTAGTATAGTTTTTCAATACTAAGTTACGATTTTTTTATTTAATATCCACGATTTCTTTGTTTTAATTTTTAATTTTTTTTTTTTTTTATTGAATAGGTCGTGTATTGTACTACTGTATTCTTTAAAAATAGTTGAGATCAAATCATATCAATGATATAGTATAATGATTTTTCAAACGGTTTTTTGAAATAATCATTTATCACTACAGAAATGTAGGTACACAGTGTTTATCTTAATTTTGAAATTCATTATATTTAATTCTATAAAAATATWAATAATTTTATGTAAAACTTTATAAGTCATAATTTATTGTAATGCGATTATTTATAACTTAAAAAATAATAAACATTTAATTTGTGTTAATATACATTTATGATATATTTCTAAGTACAGTAAGAACGTAACACATTAAATTTAAAAACGCGTATGATTAAAGTTCGGGTAAAGCATTATGTATTAGGTAGGTAGATGAAATCAGAATAATAATACAATGCCAATTACGTTAATTTACCATACAAAAACTAGGTACCTTTTGTTCTTCACTGAGTAATATTTTAATACACAAAAATCAAAACTAAAAATTAAAATAATAAATTCATATTGGAGCATAGCATATTATCATAGCATAGCATACTTGGATTTATATCATATCCTATAAATTTCAAAATTGTTGTATTTTTTAATACTCTTATTGAAATACAAAAAAACATTATTATTAGAATAGAAATTTTTTTTTTATTACCATTGTTTCATTCTACTCTATAATCTGGGTTTTAAAAGTTGTTGTTTTTCACAATCTATTTTATACCAGATACTCAACAGAACAAATTGACGAAAACAAATCTATTCACACTTATGATATCAATTATTATTGTAAAATGTTTAAATAATTATTATAATTATTGGAGTAATTATCAATAAGCGTATTAATATAATGATTTGTAAAACAACGACTGTATTCTTGTGAGATATATATATAAATCTATTGATTTACTTATACTTGTAAGTATAGGTGACATGATAAAATAAAGTAAATTGTTTGTGATAGAATTTTGATCAATCTAAAAAAAGTGTCACAAAAGAATTATTTTTAGTTTAACCTATTTTATGTATTTATTGACTAGCACATAAAATAGTTGAAACAAACTTTGATACCCTTTTACCTATTTGTACTCAAAATTAATACATAGCATTGTTTTATACAAATATGACGCAGGTACATAATTTTAATAATTTGGTTTTCGAAAATTTTTGACGGAGTTGAGAACATTAATTTACAATTTAAAATACCTACTATGCACTATTTACGGTGGCCAATAGGTAAATAATAGTAATGTAATTATATTCCCATCATAAGTATTTTATCAATTTACGTTCACCGTTTATTCTATTCATGCTTTTATTAATTTATAAATATTATAATTATTATATAATTTATTTACTTAATCATCGGGCATATTATATATCCAAATAAATGTAGGTATCTATCTGGTATACTTACACAGTATTAATTATGAATTATTAAGTTATTTGTTATCGAGACTAAAAGTAAAAACGTTAAATACCACGTATTTTATTGTTATGTATTTTGATATTATGCATATGCTATATGATATGCAAACGTTTGCCAGACAATGACCAACAAATTTCTCTAGCAGCCGTTAACATCTTTTTATCGTTGTTATTTTTAAAAAGAAAAGTAATTACTCAATTGAAATATCTATTTTAAAATTATTTTGACCTTTATCCTTTTGATACATTTATTTTAAATAATTTCAGCATAGATACTAGTAAATGAATTATGTAGGTTAATAAAATAACAAATCAGATGCTCTAATAACAATTATTTAATAATAATATATGTTATTGCCTAGGTAGTATAGTCTATACACGAATCTATAGTTATGTTTTTGGTTGTGGTTGTGTTAGATGAGTTCCCATAGTGCCCACCGCTGAAAACAGTCCAAACATCGCGTTATGTGGACGAGGCACTTTGGAAAAGTCAATGCCCTTGGGAATGTACGGCTATTGTATATCACACGAAAAGATAAGACCTTTAGTGTATGTTACATCATATTATATTTGAATTATTTGAAACAATATGGACGTGTTGACGACTAGCCTCTATTTTATAACTATAATGGCATAATTCTAAATTTTAAAATGGATTTACATCATATTATTAGTTACATATTTTCAGTTTATTAATTTAATATAATAACTACTTTTGCTCGGAAATCGTTTATTTATACATTATTTGTATAACACGTACCATTGGAGTTATTAATCCAGAACAAAATGTATTGACAAGCATTTTTTAAACATCACCTGCAAATGTGGTTCCTTAATATTCTTGTTCAAAATGTTTAAAAATTTTGTAGTTACGTTTAAAATGCATATATTATTTGTACATAGAAACGATCACAAAAAAATACAGGCTTTCATTTGAAAAATGCAATGTATTTTTTCACTCTAATATTTTCCGATTTAATGTAGCTAAAAACATAAAACAATATGAATTTATATTTAATAATATATAATATGGAACCAACGTATTATATAAAAAGGATTATCAGAGCTATGTAGTATTTTAGTAAAATGCGTATTTAAATTTATTTTGAGTTCAATATTCGGAAAGAATTTAAAATATAACTTTGGACAAAACGAAAAAGTTGAGTGTAAATCCACTATATTATTTTTTATATAGGAATATCAATAAAA